TGGGCAGCTCCACTCAGTTGTGCCCCGGAAGAGACCAGAGATTGGGCCACTGAGATGCTGGAAGGTTCTGGCTACTATGGCAGAGCCTGGGATCCAGGGTCAGGGTCTGTACCGGTGTGGTGGGCGCTGCTGCTGCCCTGGCTGACCTCAGAGGCTGCTCACTGCGGCTCCCAACCTTGGACATGGGTGCACCTTTTTCTTGGCCTTGTCAGGGGTCCTTGGGGCCCAAGCTCCTCCAGTGTTTTCCAGGCAGACTCTTTTCTTGGGCGACTTTGGGAAGAGAGATTGTTCTGAAACCCGCCGGACCTGGGCCGCCTGTGTGACTGTACGTTTGCTGTGCACAGCTACTGTCTTACAGCACAGCGTTCAGATGCTGAGCACCCCTGCCCTGACCTAGTCTGTGGGCGACAGGGGGTCTGTGCCCACCCAGTTCTGGACACTTCCTGTGTCTGGGGCTCCCTGCCCCTCCCACCTCATACTGCTGCCTCTGCCACCCGTCTCCCTCCGACGCCCCGTGTCCACGTGGCGCTGTCTGGCTCTGTGCTCTGTCCACCTGCCTACGTGGTATCTGCCTGGATTTCCATTTTGGGTCTTGCCTGTGGTGTGCTGCTCTGTGTGGACCCTGTGTCTGTGTGTCCCTCTGTGTGGGTAACCTTGACATGTGTGCTCCTTGAGTGGGACCCTGTGTATGTGGCTGTGTCCCTCTGTCGGGGGAGAGACAGGAATCAGAGCCTGAGCTGCAGAAGGCTTTATTGATTAAACGGTTTGAGGCGAATTTCCATGTGGGGAGGTGATGGGGGGCAGCGTGTCCATGGCTGCCTGTGTGCTCGGTCCTGTGGCTGAGCCTCGGTGTGGTCCACTTAGGCATCGTCCACACTGCCCATCACTTGCACCTGGAAGGCAGACAGTGGGCTAAGAGAGCTGTGATCGATAACTGGAGAGCCACAGCTCCATCAGGCAAGCAAGGCCCTTGTGGGGGGTCTGGATGTGTGTGCATGCGTGATGGTGTGTACACGTGTGGGTGTGAGCATGCATGTGTGAATGTGTTTACGGTGTGTGTCCCACGTCTGCACCTGTGTTTGCATCTCTGTGTGCACATGTGTGCCTGCCGACTGGGGAGGAGCAGGTCCTTGGTATCTGGGGGCCGCTCTGTGGACAGGAGTCTGTGTGTCCCCCTCAGCTGGCTGATGTGGGTCCAATGTCTGTGGGTGTTGGGATGTGTGTGGGTGGTAGGCTGTAGGGGTGTTGTGTTGGGTGGTCTTGGTAAGGCTTCAGGTCTTTAGGGAGTGGGGTGTCCCCGCAGCCCCCGTACCAGCAGTTGGACCAGCTGTGCCTTGTGCATGGGCTGCAGGCCGTCTATGCAGGACTTGAGTTCAGTCAGGGCTGCCTTGGCATCCTGGTTGACATTGTACTTGCCCAGGGGCCCCTCATAGAGCTCCTCTGGGGTCCCCACCAGCAGTGTTTGTAGGAAGTCCATGAAAAACTCAGCGTTGTCCTCCCCTGTGGCCAGCCCTGCATCACAGGCGAGATGGCGCCAGGACAGGACAGGGAGACTGGTGTAACCCCAGTCCTGGACCTATCCCAGGGCTCCAACCTGCATGTCTCCAGACCCTCCCCGTCAATGCCCACCTCTCCCCCCATGTCTTCACCTTGCTCAAAGACCCCTCCATGTCCCTTAATCTTAGCTGCTCCAGTTTCCTGGGATCTCAGCGTTCCATGGGATGACCAGGGAAGCAAAGTTAAGCCTCTGGTGTGGGGGAAAATGTGATTCCTGGAAGGGTCGGTCAGGCTGGACTAGGCTGGGGTTTGGTGATGTCAGCGGGGATTTGTCTTTAGTTGGGTGTGGCTGGGTGGGGACTGGTTGGTTCTGTAGGGTCCTTGTCCACTTCTGTTACAGATGCAGGTGGAGTGTTCACTGCACGGAACCCGATGCCAGGATTTTACCTCCTCAGGTACCCCAACCCCCCGCTCCCAAATATTCTGGAAGCCCCAGTGGCACAGACTCACCGCAGATGCAGAACAGGGTGAGGGCCACCAGCAGGAGGGCACTGCTCACTCATGCCGGCAGTCTCAGGGCTGCCTCCAGCCAGAATCCCGAGATTTTATGCCTCAGCGGGCAGCACCTCTCCTAGAGGGTGGGCCGGACCTGCCCATTAGGACCTGGCAGCCAGCTCAGGTGAGGTTTGTCAAATCCCTGGCCCCCAGTGGGGTGCCAAGCAGCAACAGGCTTGGGGTGGCTGCGTGACAGGTGGTTGGCAGTGGCTTTAGGGTTGTGTGTGAGAGAGAACATGTGTGGGAGAGGGAATGCCGGCAAGGGAAAGCCGTGCCAGCTGGTCGGTGAAGAGGGCAGCAGGGCCTGGCCACCAAGGGCCTCTAGTCATGCCTGCCCTTGAGACTGAGGGTGGTGGGATCTGGGGTTGGTCTCAGGCCTTTCTTTTGAGGTGGGAATCCCCCCTCTTCTCAGGTGCTGTGTGATCTGGGTCTGCACCTGGGGGTCTCCAATCAGGCAGGGGCCTCCTCACTACTCAGAATGGGAATGGCCGACTGGGGGAAGGGGGATGCACATGCATGAGCGGACACAGCCGTAGGACGAGCTGGGGACTGAGGATCTATGGGGTGAGAAGAAGCCTAGAAGAGAGAAGGTAGCCTGAGAGGGCAGGAGGGACATAGAGCTGGCTGCGCTGGGGCCAGGTCTCAGCAGGAAGTGAGGAAGGGACAGGCTGGAGGTACGTCTTCTGTCAGCAGCCAGGCCAGCAAAGGTTGAAGGCCCTGGGGCAGAGGGTCCCAGGACATAATACAGTGGACACCTGGGGCCGCCAAACAGAACCACCCCAAGAGCAGCCATTGGTAGGAGTCTTGCCAGTGCAGCCCTCCCCACTGAGCCACATGGCCCAAATCAGAAGGGGGCCCTGCTGCCACCTGGTGGCTGAAGGCGTCCCCAGGTTCCTGGGCCACACACGTGCACAGTCTCCGTGAAGACCAAGGTCCTTGTTCCCTGGAGGACCCCTATGGCACCAGAGACTTGCACCTACTTCAAACAATCAGATAAAATCCCCATCCTGAACAGAGCCTGTGGGATGGAAACAGGGTTAGGGTTAGGGTTAGGGTTAGAGGGGTTAGGGTTAGAGTTGAAGGTTACAGGTAAGGTAGGGGTTAGGGTTAAGGATTACAGTTAGGGTTAAGTGTTAGGTTTAGCATTAGGGTTGGTGGTTAAGGGTCAGGGTTGGTGTAGAGTTTAGGGTTAGGGTTTAGAGTTAGGTTTAGTGTTTGGGGTTAGGGGTTAGGGACAGGCTTAGGAGATGGGGTTGGGGTTTAGAGTTAGGGTTAAGGGTTAGGGGTTAGGTGTAGGATTAGGGTTGGGGTAGGGTTGTGTTAGGGTTGGAGTTTAGAGTTAGGGTTAACGGTTAGGGGTTAGGGTTAAGGGTTGGGGTTAGGGTTAACAGGGTTAGGGTTAAGGGGTGGGGTTAGTGTTAGGGTTAGGGTTAACGGTTAGGGTTAGGGTTTAGGATTAGGGTTGTGTGGGGTTGGGATTTAGTTAGGGTTAAGGGTTAGGGGTTAGGGTTAGGTGTAGGGTTAGTGTCAGGGGTTTTGCCTGGGGTTAGGGTTAGGGTTAACGGTTAGGGTTAGGGTTAGGGTTAAGGGGTGGGGTTAGTGTTAGGGTTTAGGATTAGGGTTGTGTTGGGGTTGGGATTTAGTTAGGGTTAAGGGTTAGGGGTTAGGGTTTAGGTGTAGGGTTAGTGTCAGGGTTTTGCCGGGGTTAGGGTTAGGGTTTAGGGTTAAGGGTTGGGGTTAGGGTTAACAGGGTTAGGGTTAGTGTAGGGTTTTGCCTAGGGTCGGGATGCAGGTTAGGGTTAGGGTTTAGGATTAGGGTTGTGTTGGGGTTGGGATTTAGTTAGGGTTAAGGGTTAGGGGTTAGGCGTAGGGTGAGTGTCAGGGGTTTTGCCTGGGTTAGGGTTAGGGTTAGGGTTAGGGGTAGGGTTAGTTAGGGTTAGGGTTAGGGTTAGGGTTAGGGGTTTTGCCTGGGGTCAGGTTATGGTTAGGGTTTAGAATTAGGGTTGTGTTGGGGTTGGGATTTAGTTAGGGCTAGGGTTAGGGTTAGATGTTAGGCGTAGGGTTAGTGTCAGGGGTTTTGCGTGGGGTCGGTTAGGGTTAGGGTTAGGGTTAGGGTTAGGGTTAGGGTTAGGGGTTAGGTGTAGGGTTAGTGTCAGGGGATTTGCCTGGGGTTAGGGTTTTGGGTTAGGGTTAGGGTTAGGGGTTTTGCCTGGGGTCAGGGTTAGGGTTAGGGTTAGGGGGTTAGGGTTAGGGTTAGGGTTAGGGGTTAGGGTTAGGGTTAGTGTCAGGGGTTTTGGGTTAGGGTTAGGGTTAGGAGTTTTGCCTGGGGTCAGGGTTAGGGTTAGGGTTAGGCATTAGGGTTAGGGTTAGGGGTTAGGCGTTAGGGTTAGGGGTTAGGCGTTTGGGTTAGGGTTTGGGTTAGGGGTTAGGGTTAGGGGTAGGGGTTAGGGTTAGGGTTTAGGGTTAGGGGGTTAGGGTTAGGGTTAGGGGTTAGGATTAGGGGTTAGGCGTTAGGTTAGGGTTAGGGTTAGTGTAGGGT